TGGTTCCAGGGATGGAACCCAGCGGTGCTTAACCACTGAGCTACCTCCCCAGCCCTTTTTATTTTTTATTTTGAGACAGGGCCTCGCTAAGTTGCTGAGGTTGGCCTTGACTCATGGTCCTGCTGCTTCAGCCTCCTAAGTCACTGGGAAACCCTTGCCAATTTGATAGGGAAATTACAACAAAAAAGAAAGAGGGGAAGTAGTTTGCATTTTCTTTGTTTACAAGTGAGGTTCACATTTTTAAAATTGTAGTTTTCTTTTTAATTTTCTGTTCATATCCCTTGCTCATTTAGAAAGTTGAGGTTTTCACTTTTTCCCCTCACGGGTTTGTACAAGTGCTTTCCATACCCAGATATTGTTGTTTGAAGAACACAGGGGAAGTTGGTAGGAGAGAGTGCATCCAAGCAGAACTTGAAGGCTAAACGGGCTCTGAGCAGATGAACAAGGACTGAGTGGTATTCTAGCGCTGGAATAGCATGTGCAAATTCCCAGGGGTGGAAAGAGTGCTAGTGTTTGGGGACTGTATTCACTACCTAGTGCTGCCAAAACAGATGACCACAAAATTGGTGACTTAAAACAACATAAATTTATTCTCCACACTCTGGAGGCCAGATGTGCTCAGTCAAGGGGTGGTCAGCCCCCTCTCAAGGTTTCGGGGAGAATTCTTGCCTCTTCTGGCTTCTGACAGCTCCAGGTGTTCCTTGACCTGTGGCTGCTTCACCCCCATCTCCACGTGGCCTCCTCTGTGTTTATATCACCTCCCCTTCTGCTTCTCTGAAGGACAAGGGGATGTTTGGTCCCCACCCTGTTAATCTAAAATGATCTCAAGACACTGAACTTGATTATATCTAACAAGTCACATTCACAGGTTCCAGGGGTTAAGATTTGGATGTCTATTTTGGGGGTGCCACTACTTAACCCACTCTAGGAACTTAGAAGTCTTATAGGGCAGGAGTATATGACCCTGTAAAGTAGAGGCAGGTGCCAACCAACGGGCCCTGCATGGGGAGTTTGGTCGTGCCGTTGAAGTGCTCGGAGGACAGCTGAAGTTTGAACAGGGCAGAGCCGTGACCAGGTTTGCAGTCTGGCTGCTGCAGGGAGAGGGTTGGAATCATCCTCGTGACAGTAGGTGAAGCTGGGAAGGAGAAGGGCGAGTGGGGTGCAGAAGATGAGCAGCAGGAAGGAGGAGGGACCCTGGGAGACTCCTCAGTTTCCTACTTGAGGGATCTTGTGTCTTAACTGCAGGAAAAGCTTGGGTTTGAGGTTCCTGAAGGGAAGGGGTCCAGGAAACCATCAGAGATGCATCTGCTGCCCAGATCGTTCCCTGGATTACAGGTGTGCGCCACTGCACCTGGGTGGCCGCATATCTTGAACGGAAGTCCAATATTCAGGGACTGCATAGATCTGAAGGGTACCATGAACTCTGATGAATGCGTCCATGGACTCCAAATTCCCCTCAATACACAGAACAGTTCCACCAGCCCAGAAAGCTCCCTTGTGCCTACTCGAGTCAGTTCTGTCCCTGCTCCATCCCCGGAAGCAACCATCATTTTGATTTTTTTTTTTTTTCCAACCACAAGTTAATTCTGTCTATTCTAGGACTTCATATAACAAAATACAGGATGTGCTCTTTTGTGTCTGGTTTCTTTGACTTAGCATAATGTCTGTGAGAGTCACTTATGTTGTCTTTCCTTTTCGTTGATGAGTGCCATTCTATGTAAGGATCTATAAGAAACGTCAAAATCTTTAAAGGAGTTGGGGCAGTGAAAGATTTCACCCCAGAGACTGAGAAGGAATAATGAAGGTAGTCGGGGAAAATTAAGTAACAGTGGTTTAAATCACATCAGCCTGTCCCCCGCTTACCCCCACCTTCTTTCTCTCAAGTAAAAGCAGTCCAGAGGTAGAGCATCCTGGAGCAGAGATTCCTATCCTGTTCAGCTATCTTCAATGCCGGCTTCTATCCTCAAGGTCATCTTATGGTTCAATGTGGCTGCTAGAGCTCCAGCCATCCCACTTGCTTTCCATATTGACAACAGAAAGGAGGAATAATGGGGGTATTGGGGAATGTATTTCTTTTAGCAGCCTTTCTCAAAGTCCCACACATATCCATCTCATGATGAAGACACTTGATCACATGCTCCACACCATTAGGAAAAGTAGTCTTTTAACTAGCCACTGGGCACACTGCCATGCTGCTTCAAATACAGTGGGATTTCTGTTACCAAGAGGGAAACGGTTGTGATGGTCAGCCACTTCATCTGCCTTTTCTTTCTTTGGAGACCCGGTGGCTAAGCTGCAGTCCGCTTGGCATTCCCACCTGTGGCCTTGGTAGGCCGAAGCCTGTGCTTGGCTGGTTTCCTTCTTCTCCAGGGCTCCGGCTTTCTTGAAGCAGTGGTTTCTCAATCTTTTTCTGATTTCTCTTTCCTGGCAGGAGTCTCCTGGGCTCTCGGAATCTTATGGTGGGTAGGAAGGGAAGAGGAATGATCTAGGAACGCTTGCGGAGAGCTCTCTGGACCTTGTCCCATCCCGCCTGCCCCCCGTGCTGGCCCCCCACCCTTGGGCTCTCCTGTTCCCCTTTGCTCCATCTCTCCTGCCAGGAGGGCCGAGGAGGATTTCTCTGGAGTGAGCTTCAGAGGGGAAAGGATGGCTTGGAGGCAGCAGGCAGATCTGGATTCAGGGTCTTTCTGTGTCCTTAGGTCAATGTCTCTGAGACTCAGTTACTTTCTCTGTGAATTGGGGAAATAAGACCCTCACAGAGCGGTGGTTTGGTTGAAAAGAGCAGGAGACCCCTGGTGTGGTCTGCTGGAATCTGAACTCTGGGCCAGGCCAGGGTCCGCCGAGGCTCACCTCCCCCAGCCTTGACGCCAGCCTGGAGCCTGGTGGAGGAGAGATGGAGGTCGACCTGATATCTCGAGTCCCTCCTGAGCTTGCCTAAGTGAGCAGCTCTCTCCAGACAGCCAGGCCCCTCTCAGTGCCAAGCTCTGCAGACTGGATGCTGCCTCTTTCATTCCTCCTGTCCCTGGAAATGCCAGAGTCTGCTCACCTCCCGCCTGCCCATGCCTTGTGGCCCGCAGGGCAGTGGGCCTGTTTCCTGAATATACGGCATCCACGTCTGAGCGTCTGACTTATCATTAGGGCCCATGGTTCTTCGCGTGCATGGCCTGTCTTGGGAAATAAACAGCCCGTGTTCCCTGACAGCTTAATAGGCCATCAGCTTAGAGATCGGAGAGGACATCCGCAGCAGCAGGTGCAGTGAGCCTGGGGAAGCTCTCAGCTGCCAACAGGCCAGATTGGATTGAGTGTGGCCGTGGCTAGGCGCCCTGGTGACCCGTTGACACCATTCTTGGGCTGCTGGCTGCCCTGGGGCCGGTATGTTGTGACAGAGAAGGAGGAGCCAGGACCTTTTTGCAGAGAACTTGGCTTGCTACGGCCCGGCTCAGACCTGAGACCTGAGACCGACGGTGCATTTCCTCTCATTCATTCTGGCCACGCACACTTGCCGAGAGCCTGCCGTGGGTTGGTCGTGGGTGCTGGGCACACAGCAATGGTTGAGACACCCAGTCCTGTCTCAGGGGCTCAGGGACAAACACGCAGGGCCAAAACAAGGACACCAGGATGCCATATGCTATAAGTGTGTGAGCTGGTTTGCCAGGAAGGACACGATGTCTGAGCAGACAATAGGACAGGCCCAGCCAGACCTCTCACCCCGCTGGGCATGATCCCAAGATACGGGGCCACACCTCCCACCTAGAAGATGCTCAGGGACTATTTAACAAATGGATGGGGCTGCTGGGCAGTCCAGCATGAAGGAGAGACCACTGCTGACACTGAGGCTACTTGGGAGCCCAGGGAACAGACTGTGGTCTTTGCGGTCCCCCTATACACTACCGTGCCAGCTCCCATTGTTCTCCAAAGGTTCTTAGCTCCTGCCTGGTGATGGGTTAGAGAGGAGTCCCCTCATCTCCAGAAGGTGGCCTCAGCCTGAGGAGACCCATCACCAGCCAGCTGAAGGCAGCACTGCCTGGCCTTGTCCCGGCCCCTCCATTCTGGGCTGATGGGATGCAAATAGGCAGAGGGATAGTGGTTGGGGGAGTCGGAGACCCTCACCTGCTGCAGGAGAGACCCAGCTGGGGTGTGTGATGCAGGGGCCTCTCTGAGACAGCTGCGGTAGCCCTTTCAGTGCAAGCCCTGAGGGGCTGCCCTATCCCCTGATGGCCCAACCCTGGGTCCCCATATGTGCGTGGGCTCTGGGGCTGGCAGTACTGAGAGGGTTAACACGGCTTGGCTTCCTGTTGTGTTCCCTTCCCTCCTCCTCTGAAGGAAGCCTACATTGGAATTATAGACATAAGTGCCGGCTTTTGAGGAGTCTGCTGCTCACCGTGTCCCTGCCAGGACTGGGCACAGCCCTCCCGCCCACGTCTGCCTGCCTTGGGCTCTGTCCTGCGCCCAGGGCCTGGGTTGGAGGGGTGAGGTCCCCCTTGAGCACACTTGCTCCACCCCTCCTCCCAAGCCTCCCTGGCCCCCCTGGAGGGATGGGACTCAGTGTACAAATGGTACCTAAGGAGGAGGGGCTGAGGAAGTGACATCGCTCGGCCCGCCCCCACTCCTTAGTCCCTATAAAAAGCAAAATGGTGACTCAGAGAGGAGAGTTGGAAGCGTCCTGCCTCCTGCTCCCACTGTTGATTTTTAGACGTGGAATTAGGCAGGAGGCAAAGGCAACAACAGCTCCAAATACGCGGCTGACATGCTATTAAACGGGTGGCGACAGCAGAGCCGCTCCTACCCGACTCCCAGCAGCCTGTGACCGAGCAGAGCCTGGTGCCTGCTGGCGCTTCCCCCTCCCCAGGCCCGGGCCCCCGCGCAGCCCCTGCCCCGGCCAGGTGTGCATGGTGCGGCCGGGGCCATGGCAGCCGGGGGCCGCCGCCGGCGCCCACTGCGCTACCAGTCCCTGGCAGCCCTCGTGGAGGACTCTCAGTGGCCTTTCCTGTTCCTTGTCTCAGACTTCAGCTACGGGGCCGACGACTACGACGCAGAGGGGCATGAGGAGCAGAAGGGGCCCCCCGAGGGCTCGGAGACCATGCCGTACATCGACGAGTCGCCCACCATGTCACCCCAGCTCAGCGCCCGCAGCCAGGGTGGCGGGGATGGCATCTCTCCCACTCCACCCGAGGGGCTGGCACCTGGGGTAGGTACACACCTGCTTTTCCTTTGGGATTTGGGGAGGGGAGCCTTCTGGGGAGGCTGGTAGAGCATCCTGGGCCTCCCGGCCATGCTCTGCTTGGGGCCAGACTGGGACCCCGTGTTCTGGGTGCTCCGGGCCTCTCATTCCATTGGGAACCGCTCTCTGGCTTCTGCTTTCCTCTCCCCCCACCTGCTGCTCTCTGCCACCCCTGCACCTGTCTCCCCTCTAACATTGGCTTCCATACTTCCCAGACACCCGGTCCTCCTTCCTGTCTTTCCCTGGCAGTCTCTCTGCTTAGCAGGGTGGGGAGGGGGCTCCAGGAAGGACCAGACCCTTCTGTCCGAACCCAGGATGGACAGTGGCTGTATAGATGGCCTGTGGGTCGTGGATGTCCAGGTGCTGGCTCAGCCAAGCCAAGGATGGTCTTGTGCTCCCTGCCGGGTAGAAACAGCTGCTTCTGTGGTCTGGCCTGACCTGGAAGCCCCTCCAGCCCTGTGCTCTTCACTCAGGAAGGGAGCAAACCCTGGTGGGTGACCACCTCTCCTCTTGTCAACAGAGGCAGGAGTTCTGCTCCCAAGAGAAGCGTTTTATAAGGAGTATTAAGCCTGTCCTCCAAGACAGGGCAGGGGGTAGGAATGTGTGAAGGGACACATAGTTGTAATTCATGCTTTTGCTGGGATAGACTCTGGGCCCTGCTTGCGTGTGTGCCTCTGAGACACAGGAGCCAGCAAGACAGAGATTCCTCAGGGCTCTTTTTCTGGAGTTTGGGAGAAGAATCAAAGCTGTTTCTCTTGGTGGCATGTGTGTGTTTGGGGTGAGCTGTAGGAGTGCCTGGTCCTGCTGGATTCAGGCTTGTCCAGCTATGTTTTGTGGGAGTTCTTTTTCTTTTCTCTGAAGCCCCCAGAAGAGCAACGCTGAGAGACACGGTGTGATGCGTTTCCCTTCTCTGGGGCCTAGCACCCCCACTCCAGCTGGAGGCTGCCTGGACTCTACCATTCTGGAGAACCCCCTGCACAGGCTCTCACTCCCTCTTCACACACTGGGGTGGCTGTTATAGCCTTTGGCAACAAGGGCCTTGGCAACCAGCTTCCCACTTGGGGGAAGCCACACGGTTGCCATGGCAACAGAGGCCGAGGCAGAGCTCAGTGGCTGCCAGGCAGTACAAGTTTGGGCAGGGATGGTGGGGTGCAGGTGGGAGGCGGAGGGGGTGGGCAAGGGTGTTGGTCAGCTTCAGGCTCCCCCCAGCTAGCGTTCTGGGGTGTTGTTCCTCCGTTATTCCTAAGGAGAGGTGATGGGTTAGAGATAGCCATCTTGGACAGGCAGGGACAGGATTTGGTACCCCATGGAGAGGAAGGAATTCTGTGACCTGGACCCCAACCAAAGGGAATGTTCCCCATCTCTGCCTTCCAGTCTCAGGTGACTGCAGGGCTCAGAGATGCCTAGGCAGAGCCACAGCTATGGACAGTTGCGGGGAGATGCCCTGTAGCACCTCAGCACAAGGGCCAGGTCCTTGCCATACCCTTTCTGCCTTCCTCTCTGCCTCTCGTCTCCCGTTCCTTCCTGGTGTTCATCCCACCCAGGCAGTCCTATGTTAGATTCCCTGGTGAAAAGTACTGTCTGGCACTTTCTCTAGTAAAACAGCTCACACCCGTCATGGGAAGCTGCCCCTACCAGGTTCTCTGAGGCTTGGGACCGTAACTTTACTTTGTGGCTGCCCGTTTTGTTTGGCTCATAAGGGAATAACCTAATTTGAGAACTTTGAAATGTAGAGTTGCTACAGAGTGACAATCCACTGAAGTGCGTGGGGCCTCTCATATTGATTTTGACATCTTTGACTAGAAGCCTCTACAAATAGGAGTAGGGAGCAATTTATCCAACTTGGGAATGGCAGGGAAAATTCCAGCCCCTGTGTTTCTGCCCTTTCCACTGTATCACTGGCCCCATCTAGTGGACACTGGAAGTATTGCTGTTTGTGTTGGGGTGTCTGGAGGGTGCCAGTATCTTTGCCTGAGTACTTGGGGATGTTTTGGTTTAAAAAAAAAAAAAGAAAAGAGAGTCAAGGTTTCTGCAACCTGGCTGATCTCATTTGGTCAGTCTTCCTTTTGGGAACTTGAGAACAGTGGGGACTTAGAGCCAAATCAGATATTCAGATATCTGGCCTCTGGCAGAGGCTGGCAGCTGAGCCTTCTACACCCGAATAGCAGTCAGCTCTCTCCTAGAAACTAAAGGATTGGTCTTTGTGTTAGTCAGGGTACCTCAGAGAAATAGAAACTGTATGGTGTGTGTGTGTGTGTGTGTGTGTGTGTGTGTACACATAAATATATATGAAGAGATTTACTAGAAGGAATTGACTTATGTGATTATGGAGACTGAGAAGTCCCAGTCTCTACAGTGGATTGCTTGAGACCCAGGAGAGTTAATGTGTAGTTCTGATCCAAGTCCAGAGGCATAAGAACCTGGAGAGCCAACGGCAGAAATTCCAGTCTGAAAGCCAGTGGACTTGTCGTCCAAGAACAGCTGATGTTTCAATCCAGGTCCAATGGCCAGAAAAGACCAGTGCCCCAGCTCTAGCAGTCGAGTAGGAAGAGTTTCCTCTTACTCAGCTTTTTGTTCTACTTGGGTTTTCAGTGGATTGTATGAGGCCCACTCACACTGATGAGGGTAATTGGCTTTACCCAGTCTGCAGTTTTGAATATTAATCTCATCTAGAAATACCATCACAGACATACTCAGAATTTTGTTAAGACATATATCTGGGCACCCTGTGGTTCATTCAAATTGACACATAAATTCAGCAATCACAGTCTTACTCTCAGCAGCCCAAAGAATGGAAAGAACTTAAATTTTAGAAAGACAAAAATCTCTCTAGCTGTGAGACATTGCACCAGTGTCGTATTACCACTCAGCCTCAGTTTCTTCATCTCTAAATAGCACTGACTACCCCAAGGGCTGTTGAGAGGATGGCCCAGGGCATTGGGTCTGGCTTACTGTCATGCTCAGCCCTTGGTGACTGAGGTCTGTGAGGCTTTTCTTATCGGCTTTTAGAGATGTGGGGAACCAGGAGCATTGCAAGGACCCCATCTAGTAAGCACATGCTGAACAAGAAATCTGATTTTGCAGCCCACCTCTGGGGTTGGGTCCCTCCTGTCACATGTGGTAGCCCCAGATGAAGCAAAGCCTCTGGTGTTGACAGATACATATTCTCACTTCCCAACATGCCTTACTCTGCTGTTCTCATCTTAGTTTGAGCCCACAGAGGTATGGAATGAACCCTAAAACCCAGCCCTTCAGATATTCCCCAGGCCTAGGTTGAGCAGAGCACGCTGGCACAGGATCAAGGTCACAGACCACCAATGGTTCAGTTTAACTGGGATTGCCACGTTGCATACTGGGAAGGAGTAGTGAGGACTGTAGCTCAGCTGACAAGTAGGGGGCTTAGGTTCACCAGCCAGGACCACAATCTTGCTCCCCATAGGCCATAAACTCCTGTCTCCCCTCTAGGGAGGTATAAAAAAGGGACCACAGGCAAAGAGAAGACCTAGGTTCTGTCCCTCCTCTACCACTTTGTAGCTTTGTGACCTTAGGGAGGTTCTTCGCCCTCTCTGAGCTCCATCTGTGAAGATCCTGAGCATTTCCTCCCTCCTGACCTCAGACAGCAGTCACGAGTTTTCCATGAGACGGTGTTAGCAGAATGCTTTGTAAATTGTAAAGTCTGTTCATGGTTCAGACTCCAGCTGGCAGGAGACGCCACAGATAAGGATGGAGGTGAGTTGACACCATTACTTCTCCTCTTCCCCCATCTCTTCCTCATCATCATCACAGCTGCAGAGCTTGTGGTCTCATTTAAGGTCTATGATGGCCCAATGATGTATGTGCTCTATCTCCATTTTACGGTGGAGGAAACTGAGTCTCAGAGAGGAGACATCATTGTCTGAGACCACACAGCCAGGGAGCTAGAGCTTTACTTAAGCTTGGGTCCTTGTGGTGCTGCAGTCGGAATGGTGCTGCCAGGTCCTGCTCAGATGCCTACCCCTTCCCTGTGAAGCTTTTATAACTCACTGCTGGCCTCCTTGCTGTCTGGGAGGTGTACATAGTTACTTGTGGGATGCATCGGCTATTATGAGATTGGCAGCCCCAATCCCTGATCATCTCTGTGGGCCCCATCGACAGCTCAGGTACTCAGAGGTTCTTAAATGGTGTTTGGAATTGCCCTTACCCTCTCTTCCTCCTTCTTGGTCACCCAGAACCATTTGGAGGAAGAGAGGGTAAGGGCAATCTTGGGACAAAGCTGGGAAGAATCACTGGCTTCTCCCTACTTCCCCAGTCCTCTCCTGAGGGCTTAGGGGTTGAAGTTGCAAAGGAAACAGGTTGTTTCCAAGTGAATGGGGGAGCCAGATGGAGAGCGGCAGCTTCTGAGCTTGCACCCCACTCTCCTGCCTTCATGTTCTGTCCCAGGCCTGGTGAGGTGGCTAAGGGATGGCCACGGTGGAGGCAGACATGCTGTCAGCTCGCCTGCCTCCTTGACTGGGTAACCTTGCTCCCCATTTCTCCCCTGCTATAAAGAAGAGGTTACTAACTGGCTCCCACATGCCAGGTGCTCTGCGAGGGGCCCCGTGGGCTTCATTGCTACCCAACACCTTCAGCCTCTGGGGGAGTTCCACTGTTTTATCCATGAACAAATTCAAGGGCAGGGTGGGAAAGAACTAAGTCGGAAGTAGGCAGATAACACGCTTGAGTTTTGATCCTCGGTCTCCTTCCTAGATCGCTCTCCCTGTTCTCTCCAGGCCACCCCTCACTGCTTTTTCCACCTAGCTCTGCCTTGATCACCCCTCCAGGGTATCTCCCCTGATGGACCCACCTGGCTGCCCAGCTGATCCTGGTGGCTCTCGCATCCTGTCTGGACCCTTCCCTGCTAGTGTGCTGGGGTCCTAGTTCATTAATGTATTTCACATCCGCCAATCAGGCTACTTAGAAAGCAGCAATTATCCAGGTACCATAGATAA